TTTCTTAGGTTAATGATAAAGACGCTAGTATTTCATCGACATTTCCAAGAACTGCCTTAATCAAACGAGTTTTAACGGATTTTCATTAAAATATGAATTACGAGTTTTAGTGACTTAATTAGTTTTCATTAAAATATTAATGAATAATAATTACACTTTATAACTGATAATGAGTAGACAAATTCATCAAGTTTTTTCGAACTCTTAAACCATTTTCTTCAACTGATTATATATAGAATGATTATTACATATTCTCTTAGAATGATTATTACATATACTTAGAACTCTTAGAATGATTATTACATATTTACTATATCTCGACTAATTAAATACAAGCATTCTGACTAATAAACTATTTCATCAGTTTAGAATTATTAGACATATCATTTAAAATTGGTAAAAATTTAATCTCTAAGGAATGGTTCATTTAGAAATTAAATTAATGTTTTTATAATGCTTTAATGAGAAAATAATAATTCCCACATTAATTTGAATAATAAAAACATAGGAAAAATATACTGGCTTGCGAAAAATTTCTAAGTCCTTGGGGAAAAAAAACGTTCCTCTTCACATTAGCGAACTCACTGAAGAAAACTAATTAAATATAAACATTCTGATCATGAAACTATTTAATTAGTTTAGAATTTTTAGTTATATAGTATAAAATTAATAAAAATGTAATCTTTGAAGGCTCATTTTTAAAATTAAATCATTGAAATTATAATGCTTAATTGAGAAAATAATAATTCACAAATTAATTTAAATATTGAAAGCATAATAAAATATACTAGTTTGCGAAAAATTTCTATGTCCCGAAAATAAAAATAATTCTTCCACTTTCCAAAGAAGAGATAATAAAAATCTTCCTTTTGATGAAACTTTATCTAAAGAGGGGATCTCGTAGACAAGAGGTCATCGATCCGAAGTGGGGTGTAGCTCTCATCCCATAGAACTATAGTAAAAGAGGTCATCGATCCGAAGTGGGGTTGAACGCTCATCCCATAGAACTAGAGTAAAAGAGGACATCGACCCAAAGTGGGGTTGAACGCTCATCCCATAGTAAAAAAAGTGGGGTTGAACGCTCAATTTTCCCCTACTCTGGTCTATGCGAATTCCGCAGCCGGCTTGTACGGACCATAATGCTGACGTAATCAATAGAAAGCAGATCATTGTTTAAGACTCGCCTTGCTTTCGGGCTAACCGTGGTAGGTTTTTGTGGTAACGGAAATGCCGGTCAGTTCCACCAAAGAGTCCTTCACGAAGGCTAGTTTGTCCCAATACTTGATTTAGAAGTTCCGTTGTCTTCTGGGTTGAGTTAAAAACTATAAGAACGCGTAGTTGAATGTTGATAGCAGTAAAATCAGAATTGGGTCAGCTGTTCAACAGCGGTTAAAAAATATAATTAAAAAAACTAAAATCGAAATCTATTGAAAAAAGGATGCGTTTTCCGTGGAAAATAAGTTTCTGGGATCGATTCTACAAATTAATTCTAATAAGTTTTAAATTCATTCAAGTTCATTCATTAAGTTTTAAGTTCATTCATTTTAACAATTAAGATTGAGTCTCTGTACATAAAAATCAGATCAGTAAAACGAAAGTTATTCAGGTTGATTTCTCTTTCTTTAGATCACTGTACAAATTCTATATTAAAATAAATTGTAAAACTTCGGCAGCGTTGCTGAGAGTCTTTCAAATTTTGAAATATAATGTTTTGATGTGATATTTTAAGGAGTGAAAAGACTGTTCTTGCAAGATTATATTTGTAATTGATTGTAAACCATAGTAAACAGTGCCGAAACAAAGGAAATGATACCAGCTTTACATTTGAAAGAATTCTGTAATTAATCTTTCACAAAGAAAGAAAGCTTTCCATTTGATTACTCAGCCTAAACAATCATAAATAGCATCTCTCGCACGCGACATAGATATGCGAAAAGTTACTTTGATACAATAACCTTTCCAAATCGTGATAGTGCAACAATGGATTAAACTGTGCTCAACCAAACGATTATTTAATGTACTCTCATTAAGAATCGATTAACTTTTCCTTTTTATTCAATATCGCTGACACTATTATTGTTATTTTGTTATATGAGAAGTGTGCGATATTTTGGTAAAACTTTTTTTAAATACAGTGCACAAAATAAGAGACAACTTTATAACATTTGATGAAAAGATTGGATTATCATAAAGCAACAAGCAATCAATGCAGGCTTGGTTTGACTCATAATAGCAAGTAATGTTTTGAAGGGATAATCCAAAGTATGCTTATTATTTAATGGTGTAGATATTATAAATTACTAACTCAGACCAAAAAACACACTTTCTTTTAATAAAAATATCTTTTTTTATGGATTTGGACTTTAGTACCTTAAAATATAACCACAATCTGGAAAATATGGCCCT